AATTTTATTAACAAAACCAAACAACTACAAATGTGTAAACAAAAAACGCTCTTGAACGGTCGTCTCTGCAACCATGCCTTCAGAAATAACCAGCAAAAAAATTGAAGAACTATGAGCCTGAAAACGGCGGATAATTCTTGCTCGACCTGATACCGTTTGTTGAACGTGGAAGATTGGCCATGTCAGTTCGGGCGATTCAAGCTCACAAGGCCATGCAGGTCTTGGAGCCAGAGCGACTCGTTAGCAACAGTCCCAGCAGGGTTTCACCTTCAACACTAATGGTGTGGAACGATGCGCTAGCCCTAGTCAAGAACATAAGAAGTGTGACTGAACAAAAAACTCACCTTGGAAAGCCGCTAGAAAGGGAGCTGAACGGCTTCGAAGTGGGCGTGGTTGGAATCGGCCGAGGGGACTGCATAACCACGCCCACTTCGAAGCTGTTCGGCTGTTTTTCCAGTGGCTTTCCAAGGTCACTTTTGCTTCGAAGTATCCAACTCAGTATTCTTCTGGAGCATAAGAAAATCAATATTTATACTCGCAATATACAGGTGCTTGTGCTAAGCGGAGTGCCACACGAGAGACCAGCGTTGATCCAACTGGCTTCCAGCATCACACGAGGAGCAAGTCTGTTAGTTTGTGGGAACGTCATACATGAACAAGTTAGTTGATAGATTTTCTGGAATTATTTGAACTATTGCCATTTTACTTTTTTGATAATGCTACGCCCGCGAAGTGCTCAGTTGAAGCGACATTCCGTGGCTCAACGGTTTCATATAATCATTTGCTGGAAGAACTAAAATTTTCAATGCTTGGGATAAACACCACCTATTAAAACGTAAGCTGCTCTGGCATTTCCCAGAGTGAGTAAGGAGACGCCCATCAGCCGGAGACACGGCATGCTCGCAGATTGTGCCATGCACATGATGCTTGCAAGACGGGTGGCATCGAAACGAATCATCTAACGCCACGTGCATTGTGACCAGATTACTTCGCTCCACCGCGATCAGGATCTGTTGACCCACATTCGGTATTTTTTGTACATGTTGATGCTGATACGATACGGAACCCCATAGGGTAAGAAAAACATACTCACCAGAATTCAATTGCGGAGTATATGTACCCACTAAAGATAAGGTAAACTAATTGTCCACGGAGCACTTTTTCAAGCCCTCTGAACTTTCTAGCATGAAATTTTGAACGTTGTCTTTAGTGATCACAACTGACGTATTCATGTTGGGAAGGGAGGCAAGAAGTTTCCGTGCACGGTTCCTTTGAACGGACGCAATTCGTCCGCGCCGCTATCGCCGCTGCCCGCCCAGCCCATCAAGCCGCCTAGTGGAAAGCGTTAGCGTTGACGAGATGAGCTCCGCCTTCAGGCAGCCTGGAGCCAGTAGTGCTTGCTCAGTAAACGCTTGTAAAGTTCGATTCTTGCAGCATGTGGTAGTACGGAACAACTATTGAAGGTTGTTTATTATTAACAGATATCCATTCAACATTGGGCGGAAGTGGTGTAGTGGCAAGTGGCACGCTTACCACGCGAGCGGTCCGGGGATCAAATCCTGGGTCGTGAGTCGCCCGGGCCAACCAAGCCTTCCATCCCTCCGGGGTCGGTTAATTGGTACCAGACTTGTCTGGGAGGATAAAAACACTGACTTGTACATCGGCTGGCCCCCGCAAAATTCGTAAAATATACGAAGTTACAAGATCGAAAGAAAAAACTTCCAAATGGTCACTTCGTGTAGAGCATCATGCAACGTCCTCAGTGAGGGCAACGACCACTTTACAGCATGCCTTGTTTACATTGCTTTGCCTTCTGCGGCTTTCCCGCCCCTCCGCGCGCACTCATTCCTCGATTTTGCGAGCGTTGCCTACAGTTTGCTAGCTCGTCAGTACGCTAACTGTCTTAAACTACAAGGCTGTCAACTATTCAACCACCCGTTCGTGCTTTTTACCAACAGATGGGGTAAGTGAGCGCTCTTTGAAATGGTTGAGAATTGTACATTGTTAGAGTTTGTGTCGTTCACAGCCAATCACCCCTAAACTATGCGGTGTGGTACGTGGGATGTGTTTGTTTATGGGCCGCGAATCAGATACAACAGAAACAGTCATGGTGGTGGTGGGGTGGGAGTCTGTTGTACGTGGCACATTCTTCATCTACATACTGTTAGCCCAATGTCACAGTGTACTCCGTCGATCAGCAACGTTGGTGAGCCGCGCAAATGGGTGCGAGCTACCATGTCAAACGTCTGAAGTGTGGATATTGTCCACATATAGGAGAGGGACATCAATATTCTACGAAGATAAGGTCATTACCAGGTGTATAGTGTGAGCTCCATGATGGCGCGCATTGTTGCCTTAGACATGTCCGTTTCAGGACGGTGGCGATTGTAGCGAGCAATGAGCGAGCGCGGCGCTTAGCTACTAAAAGTTTTGATAAGAACGTCTGGTATTCCTATCAAGGAACCCTATCATAAACAGTTGAGATGAATAAAAGGATGAAGAGATGAAGTTGCCGTTGATCATCCCTTTTTGGGATGCGGCACGCATTCTACTTCCATTTGTACATTCGCAGTGGCGTTTGAATGCGATGTGGCCTATACAATGACTTGCGGGGGCCAGCCGATGTTCAAGTCAGTGTTTTTATCCTCCCAGACAAGTCTGGTACCAATTAACCGACCCCGGAGGGATGGAAGGCTTGGTTGGCCCGGGCGACTCACGACCCAGGATTTGATCCCGGACCGCTCGCGTGGTAAGCGCGCCACTTGTCACTACACCACTTCCGCCTGAGATTGTTGATGATGGTATCTGTTAATAATAAACAACCTTCAATAGTTGTTCCGTACTACCACAATGCTGCAGAATCGAACTTTACAAGCGTTTACTGAGCAAGCACTACTGGCTCCAGGCTGCCTGAAGGCGGAGCTCATCTCGTCAACGCTAACGCTTTCCACTAGGCGGCTTGATGGGCTGGGCGGGCAGCGGCGATAGCGGCGCGGACGAATTGCGTCCGTTCAAAGGAACCGTGCACGGAAACTTCTTGCCTCCCTTCCCAACATGAATACGTCAGTTGTGATCACTAAAGACAACGTTCAACATTTCATGCTAGAAAGTTCGGAGGGCTTGAAAAAGTGCTCCCGTGGACAATTAGTTGCTAGCCTTACTCTTTTAGTGACCCGGTACATATCTTCGCCAATTGAAGGTCTGATGTTGAGATATGTTTTTCTTACCCTATGGGGTTCCGTATCGTATCAGCATCAACATGTACAAAAAATACCGAATGTGGGTCAACAGATCCTGATCGCGGTGGAGCGAAGTAATCTGGTCACAGTGCACGTGGCGTTAGATGATTCGTTTCGATGCCACCCGTCTTGCAAGCATCATGTGCATGGCACAATCTGCGAGCATGCCGTGTCTCCGGCTGATGGGCGTCTCCTTACTCACTCTGGTGAAATGCCAGAGCAGCTTACGTTTTAATAGGTGGTGTTTATCCCAAGCATTGAAAATTTTAGTTCTTTCCAGCAAATGATTATATGAAACCGTTGAGCCACGGAATGTCGCTTCAACTGAGCACTTCGCGGGCGTAGCATTATCAAAAAAGTAAAATGGCAATAGATCAAATAATTCGCAGAAAAATCTATCAACTAACTTGTTCATGTATGACGTTCCCACAAACTAAAACAGACTTGCTCCTCGTGTGATGCTGGAAGCCAGTTGGATCAACGCTGGTCTCTCGTGTGGCACTCCGCTTAGCACGAGCACCTGCATATTGCGAGTATAAATAATATTGATTTCTTATGCTTCAGACGAATAGTGAGTTGGATACTTCGAAGCAAAAGTGACCTTGGAAAGCCACTGGAAAAACAGCCGAACAGCTTCGAAGTGGGCGTGGTTATGCAGTCCCCTTGCTCGATCCAGCCATGCCCTTTTTGGGAGCCGTTCAGCTCCCTTTCCAGTGGCTTTCCAAGATGAGTTTCTTATTCAATCACACTTCTTATGTTCTTGACTAGAGCT